TTGTAAAAACAGTTTCTTTTAAAAAAAAATCAAAAAATTACCACAGCCACTGCAGGACTGCTTAGCATCTCATCCGGACTAATCACCGTGTACAAAGCGATATTGGTGAGTGTAAAAATGACTGTGCAAAGTGTGCACGATATTGCAATTGATAATGGCAAATTTCTGAAAGATGGTGATTGCAGCTCCGTGACAGAAAATTGTTCGATATTTTGTACATTTAACATTAATAGAATAATTGAATATGTACAATTCAAAAAATGAATAAAATATTCGAAAATTAGCATCATAAGCAAAATAAACTTTGAAGCAAACAGAACAACCGGCATCAACTACAGCGCAACAATCATCATTTTAAATGCTTACAAATGGATGTAAGCGGTTGAATTAAAAAGAAGCCAGTAAAAAACTATGCTCCAAAGCAATTTCCGATAAATTAAGCCGTTACCTTCTTGGATTCTGCAGCTCCTCCACAATGAAATTGAGATAATTCCATCCCTGATATGCGAACAGGCCAGAGTAAAAAGCAAGCGATGCAGTCCCAATATCCGGTGTTGTGTTCTCGAAGATATTCTCGAACGATTCGCGGTACTGCGGCTTTCCTGTAATGCACGGAAGAGCTAAAATCAAATTGCACTGCTCTCTTCCCTTCAATATTCATAAGCGGGCAGACAACGCGGCCGACGCAAACGGTCACGCCAACCCCAAAACACTCGAGGTCGTGTTGCGGAAGGCAAGAAGCTCTGGCATTGATATTTATAATAGTCGGATTTTCACTAGTATCGCATCAAGTTTCGGCTTACCTGTTACTAGCAATATCGCACCGGTGCCGATTATCAAGCACAGCGCAAATAACTTCGCCACAGTGAAAAAATCTTGTACAAATGTGGCCAATCGCACCGACATACAGTTAATCGCCGTCAGAATTACTAAAAGCACATTTTTTTTTTTGAGAAGTGATTTAGCGCTCAGCACTTTTTCTCAGTAAACAACATTTAATCAAATGCACATATTCCTAACACCGATTTGTTAAATCTGATTAGGTTAATCTAAAACTTTCTAAGCCCACCCGTCTCTATTGCTCCTGCAAAGTACACAATTTAAAAGACGAGAATTCATCCAAAACAAAGCAGATTTCATCAAAAGAAATGCAAAATTTCACTGGAATGGTAGAAAATTTTGGTAAAAAATCAAAAAAGGGTTTAAAGATGATAATTTGCTCCAAGAAACAAAAAAAAAAATGTGTTCTGCGAGGCCAAATTTAACATCAAAATGTCAAATGCGAGCAAATCGGAAGAGAGCGCCAAATGGAAAACTCTATTACTGGCAGCCGAGAATCAGGGCGTAATTCGCCACTGTTCAAACAACAAAAATTATCAGTATCATTTGTTGAAAAA